CGATATAATCTTTAGGTAAATCACAAACGGGAAGATAACGCATAAAATAGTCTTTAATTAGGAATATCTGACTTTTCGGACCAAGCTCGGTCCGTCTTCAGAGAACTTCATTTGAAATTACGGTATGTTATCATACGAGGCAAGATACGGTTCATACAACAACAACTGATTTGCAGGGTCATGACATTCAAAATTCCTTCTCAATCACGAGTCGAGTCGGGCGTTCCTTACCCAGGAATACGGGTTTCTTTTTCGCGTATACATTAATACCTCATATGCTTGCATCATACGTTTTAATGAATTAAAGGCATTTTTTTTTGTGTAATGTATTTTTTAAAATTTATAGCAGTTTCCATTATCTTTCGCACGCTCGCTCTGGAAACTTCGCTTTTGAAATATTTGATGCATGACTGTGCCCCTGATGCCAAACAAGTGAGCGATAGTTTTTGGCTTGATTTTATGAATGAATGGTAATCATTTCTTCACTATTAATGCTGCAGTCAATAAAACTGTCAAGCACCTGTTGGCTCCTTCGTGAGACATTTTTACTTAGCCACCTCACTCTGATTGCTAAAGTATTTCCTCAGCATTTCAGAAAGCACAAATATGTATAGTAAGGAAAAGAATGCTAGAGTGATGCTTGGCGAAGTGTATCCTTTTATACTATTACAACTGCCGTGAGGGTCGAAATTAATGATTAACGGGCACTGTTGCAACCCCTAATGTATCCTAAGCAGCAGTTCTGAGAGAAGGGCACCCTGATTACAAACCTGACCCGAAAGTCCGCATTTATTTCTAAACAAGCTTAGTCAAACGGTTGTTCGCCCTGCTTACCTTTTGAAGAGTAGGTGGCAATTTTTGGAAAAATAATTGCAGTCGCGTAGCTGCGGGCCATGCGGAACGTCCCCGGTTTGTGGACGGGCAACGCGCTCCAGACACAAAAGTTAGCCGCGACAAATAAGCACTGGCGGACAGGCACCCTTGAGACAATCAGGGCGTGGCTGAGTTGGAATTCGACTAATCCGTTCCTTCACAAAAGGTCACAACACCTCATGACTGTTTCATGCCGAGACGAAAGTGAAAGTGATCCGCCCCTTTGAAGAAGAAAGTCCGTCACTGTCACTGGTGCCTTGTAGTTAGATGTAGTCTCGACAAAGCTGAGGGAAAAGGGAAAACTTTGATAAAAGCCGAGCATAATTTGAGAACACGTCTGTACTAAATCGCCCAGACCACCGTCTACACTTGCTAATAGACGACAAAACCTTTTGCGCTATGACAAGAAAAAGTGCACGGAAAGTTTGTAGCCAGCGCGATTATTCGCCGAATATTAGCCGGCTCAGATGACCCAGGTAAAGAGCAGAGAACGAGAAGATGCTTCATATATAGCATAGAGCAATGGAGAAAAAGTAATATTTTCCGTTACGTGGGTTTTCAAAACCTAAGAAATCTCTTGATTCACAAACTTAAACACTGTCATCGTCCTGGACGTCAGGTTGTTTTGCATC